GTCCGCACTTATAGAATTGCACAAATTTATTATTGTTGTTGTTATACTGATTGTTTCCGGCCCTTTCTATTTCATAGCTAGGTAAATCTATCTTGTTTAAGGTGATGGGATACATACCATTCCAATTCTCGATCCATTACTAAGCTGGAAAGACTATTCACTTTGACGACTAGTCATATAAATAAAATATTTTACTTCTCTCTCTCTGGAACTAAAATTAGNTATATATATATATATATATATATATATATTCCACGTCTCAAAGTTTGGCCTCCTTCCTAAATGTTAATGGCTGTTGAATTTCTTGTAGAAAAATTGGGTCTAATTGTCGTTAGAGTTTGGCTTCCTCTTTTGCACTTGCAAACTAGAGATAAGTACATTCATGAATGTAGAGTAACACTGTATCCCCTGTGCATAACTTACTAATAAATCTTATGTTCTATGCACAATTTATTAAATAAATCAATGAAAAGTAGCGTAGCACTATACAAAATCTCATTTAATACCCTTTGACATGCAATAAAGAGTAACATAGTCCTCTTCCACACCCCAACGGCAGACCTATTAGTCATGAACCAAGCAAAGGCTTCCAGCATTCTTTTTGTTTTTACCTTGTGAATCTTGGTGAAGACTGAAGGCTTAATTACTGAGAATATCGTATGAAGGGGGACGTGCAAAAGTCTTTCGAAGAAAAAGAACTAGCTAACTAAATGTGAAACTATTTATCCTAAGCCAAATTAGGGATGGCAATCGAGTACTCACTGGATAATGATTTATCATATACTTTGATAGTGCAAGGAAATAATCGTTAGAATATATTCTACTGGTAATCTTTTGTAAGAAACGAGATCTGTAGACTTGAAAATAAGACAAGTTACTTGCTACAACAGATAAAAGTGACACAATAATATAAAAATTATTCATACAATCGATGTTCTATATACATATGAGTTAAAAATGAGGACTATCCCCTAGTCGAACCCTCTGTTACCTACTTACCTTATAGGATTTCCAATTAGCGATCCCAACTACACTCCAATTGTTCCATTTTTTTCATAGAGAAGGTGTTAGAATATATAACTGGATACATATGTTCCAATTACAAGTGCACGAGGAATAACTTAATGTCATAAAACAGACAATTAAAGACAAGAAGTATTATGATAACAGAGACATTTGAAAACAATCACATATTAGTTTAAACATATATACAGATACAGATAGTAATGAAACATTAACATATAACTATATACGTGTTCTTCTATAGTCAACGAGTTTGCTGCCTTCGATCGAGCTATATACATATGGTTGAAAACTTTTAAAAGCATATTTCACATCTTGAATTCGCCTATCGGCTTACCCCATTGTCATCCATAAACCAAAATGCTAACGGATTCAGAACTTAACTTTACCAATTAGGTTATTGGACACCTTTTGCCATTTGTCACATAGAAGATAATATTACAGAAATGGCCTTTTTTGAGGCCACTATTTTAATTCTATCAACGGTCAGTCTAGTGGGCTGAAATATTTGTATGCAAAAAGAAATTAGCATACAACTATTTTTAAGAGCCCTATTTTTAAAGGGAAAATCTCACTTTATACACATTAATTTTAAATTATTTATTCTTTAATGTCCCGATCCAAATTATTTACTATTCATATCCATGCGGCCCAAACTATTTATCCGGTTATTCATTTATTCTATTAGTTTTAAACTCTTCTCTTCTCTATTTCTTCTTGATATCAGCAATTCCCCAATGCATGTTATTTTCCTTTTTCTCTGAAACCCCTTATGTATTTTTCAGCCTTATCTCTTTAGTTTCTTCTACATATTGAAACATCATCTTCTCCTTTTTACTAGGTCCAATAGTCACCACCTCAAAAAATTCAGAAAACCAATAACAAAATACCAAAATTTTTGCTAAAAAAATATAACCCATATGATTTCTTGAAATATTCTCGTCAAAATTCAGGAATTATTATTTTTGGGTAGTTTGGGTTTTGTAGAGTGAGAATGAAAGTGACCCAGAAAGAAAAAGAAGGCTTGGTCTTAATTTTAGTAACTCCAAATCCTTGAATTATTTCCTCGTTTGCTACTTCTTGAGTTACTTGTAATTTGTTCTTACAAAATTATTCTTCCATTTCTTTTATATCCTTCTTCAAAAAGAAATTAGATCTGATTATCTGAGAAGTTGACATCTGGCTAGTTTCAATTCTGCTCCACTTTTTCTTGATTGTTCTTCCCTAGCTCTTGCTCTTGCCTTGGCTTAAAATTTTTATTTTGAAGATTTCTTGTTTGATTCAAAGTGGGTGCTGTTAAATATTGCTTATAATACCTTCTGGAAGTTCATACTGAAATTTGATAGCATTTGGAGCTGATTGAGATCGAAATTTTCAAGTGAAAATCGAAGAAGAACAGAGCTAACCAATAGTATACTGCTATGGTATACAATATGATGTAGGAGTATATAGTTATACGACAACAATATACTATTATAGTTTATTATATACTGCAACAGTATATTGTAATAATCGAAGAAGAACACAGTTACCTGGTTGTATACCGCTACAGTATACAATATACTATAGGAGTATATAATTATACTGCAACAGTATACTATTATAGTGTACAATATATTGTTATAGTATACTGTAATAATATGCAATATACTATAACAATATGATATAATAGTATACAATATACTATAATAGTATACTTATCACACGTAAATTCACTTGCCTTTTCCCTTTTAATTTGCTTTAAACTTTTACCCAACGTGAGGGGCAAATTAAAAATACAAAAAAAAAATTATATTATGTTATATAATGTAATGGTATGCTCTTACAATTAGATCCTTTTAGAATTTTTTGAAATTTTTATTGACAACTGATATTATTTCAGTTTAATAATTGAATTAAATTTTTTTAACTCTTTGCGTACAATTGTATACCCTGTTGGTATAGCTATATACTATATTGGTATCATATGTTAGTTAATATTTTTTTGTTGTATTAGCTATATTTAATTGGTACACAATTTAATTTTTCTTTAGTAATAATATAAAAAAAAGAATAATAAAAAATAGTGAAACAATAAATGAAATTAGATTATGAAGAGAAAAAAGAATATAAAAAAAAAGTTAAATGCAATTAGAAAAGGAAAAAAGAAAAAAATAAGAAGAAAACGAGAAAAAAGAAAAGGAAAAAAGAAAAAAAAGAAAAGAAGCATAGAAATAAAAAATATTGGAGAATAAAGAAAAAATTCCCCACAATAACTACTATGGGTAGGAAATGTAATTAGTTTATGGATAGAAAAATAAATGGGTAGACAAGGGTAAATAATTTTATTTTTGTAGGTAACTGTGTCAAACCCTCATTTTTAAAGGCGAATTTTGCAAATGTGCTAATGGTGACAAAACTTGAAAAGTGATCTTGAAAAAGGTAAAAAATTTAAGAGTGACTTATTTGGTCACCCCTAGTTAACTTATACATATTTTTTAAAAAAGTTTAACAACTGATACCCAATTTTTTGATAACTTCATAAACATAACTTTTCTCTTCTTCTTCGCTACTGTTTTCTTCTTCTTTCTATTCATGTCACATGTATCTCTGTATTCATGTCCCAAGTATCCAGAAGCCTTTTTGTTCTTCTTTTTAGTTGCAAAATACCATTGTAGGTTGTGCTTAGCGTTTCTTCTTCTTCTTCTTAATTGCAAAATGAGTTTGTTAGATTTTTTATTATTTTGACGATTTGATTATTGAGGTTCATTCTTTATGATATCTGAAAGTTATGTTTTAAATCTGAGTTTATTTGGAGTAGATATGAGCGTTGAATCGTGTGTTGGATTCTTGAAATTCGAAGAACAAGTTTATGTTTTAGAACTTGAGATTCAAAATCTGAAGTTGTGTTGAAGACATTGAACTACTTAAAATTTGAATTTAGTTGCATTTGAAATATAAGATTTGATTTCTGAAATTGCATTGAAGAGATTGAACTACTTAAGATTCGAATTTTTGATGTTGCATTTGAAAGATAGAAGAACTTAAGATTTGATTTCTGAAGTTGCATCTAAGAGATTGAACTACTTAAGATTCGAATTTTATGAAGTTGCAGTTGAAAGATAGAACTTAAAGTTTGATGTTTGAAGTTGCATTGAATAGATAGAATTAGTAAAAATAGCACGGTATAGCCAATTTTCGGATTGGCCATTCAAAAATAGCCAGCGTTTACCAAGTCAATGAAAAATAGCCACTATTTTGCTATAACAGAGACCGATCCAGCATAATATACTGGAGTTCAGTGCACCTGTGTATAAACTTTAGCATATTATGCTGGACCAGTATACTTTGCTAGCTCCAGTATAATATACTGGAGACTAGAGTATCGGTGCTCCAAACTCCAGTATATTATGCTGGACCGGTATACTTGCGGGAACTCCAGTATATTATGTTGGAGTTCTAATGTACTTATGCTGGAACTCCATCATATTGTGTTGGAGTTCCAGCATACTTATCCTGGAACTCCAGTATAATATGTTGGAGTTCAAGTATACTTATGCTGGAACTCCAGCATAATATACTGGCGTATTTTCCGAGTTTTGAACAGTATTTTCGCTCAGATTTATCTTTACATGAAAAGTGGCTAAATTTCGATTACTCTTAAAACTGAGCTATTTTTGAACGACCAATTGTACATCTGGCTATTTTTTAATTTCACACATAAAACTACTTCAGATTCCGGTGAATAAGTTTTATAAATTATTTTGCAATGCAAGTATAACTTTAATGACGGCCCCAAAAGTGAATACTTGTGCAAATGACCCTCAAAAAACGTCAAACGATGAAAATAATCTTGTTGATAATACTCCAAGCCGAAACGATTGGAAATGCAAGCTGTTGGAACTACATCCATGAATGGGCTATCACCAATGGGCCAATCAGTCCATCATTAATCTTTACAAAAGAAATGCAAGCTGTTGGAACTACATCCATGAATATACTCAAATTTCTTAGCCCCTAGGCCCTAGATGATGTCATATATAGATTTCCAAAGGTTAACCACAAATGATTGGAAAAGATTTCCATGGAGGAGGATAAGTGGGACCCTCTTAACAGAAATCTTTTTCCAGCCTTACACTTCTCACCCCTACCCACAAGAAAATAACAATAAGCCCCAAAAATGAAATGTTTGGAATAAACATGGAACTTTAAGTGAAAAATTCAGTAATCAAAAGAAAAAGAAATTCCAAGAAAATAACAATGGCAGCATCATCAGCAACAGCAACAGCAACAACTTCATTTTTATGTGCTTTAGACAAAAAGACTCCATTTTTATGTACTCTAGACAAAAAGGGTACTCCATTTTTATGCCCAAAAAACAGCACAACAAAGAGAAGGTCATTTAATGGAGGAGTGAAGTGCATGGCAATAGAGACAGCAGCAGGGGCTACAGAGACTAGGAAAAGAAGTGGCTATGAGTTGCAAACTTTAACAAGCTGGCTATTAAGGCAAGAACAAGCTGGGACTATTGATGCTGAACTTACTATAGTGATTTCAAGCATTTCAATGGCTTGTAAGCAGATTGCTTCTTTGGTTCAGAGAGCTGGAATTTCTAACCTTACTGGAGTTCAAGGTGCTGTCAATATTCAAGGAGAAGACCAGAAGAAGCTTGATGTTGTCTCTAACGAGGTTTGTTTGCTACAACTTCTTCCTATAGCTCAATAGAAACATACTACTAATATATCATTATTTTCTAAAGACATATTCATGTATACATAGAATTTTTGCTGAACTTTACGGGTGCCGGTGACCTCTCTCGGTATAGCATAGGTCCGCCTCTGCTCACACTTTCATGTCAGTTAAAAGATAACTACTGATAACCATGTATGAGAAGTGAAATTAGTAACCTGGAAAATAAATAAGACAGCTTACCTGTTACAATATATTCTCATAGTATAAGAATTCTTTACATTGTCAAATTTATCTCATAATAAGATTGGTTGATACTAGAACTATATCAAACATATTGCTATATTAAGTTACCCCACCTTTTTATGTTTTCTTCTTCATATTACCCTCTAAGTATGAAGTAGAATCATCTCTTTCATAAGGAATTGGAAATTAGAACTTTCAAATTATGAGAATTATGTGTCTGAGCCATGGAATCCGCTACTGATGTTTGCATCAGGGTACGGTGTCTACATCACACCCCCTTGGGTGCAACCATCCCCGGACCCTGCGTAAACGCGGGATGCTTCGTGCACCGGGCCGTCCCTTTTATTCTTGTAATGCATATGGCTTGACTTTACTCGGTAAAATTACCAAACTATTGTGATATTAAAGTAATTGAACTTTATACAATATAATAGTAAAGTCACTAAACTTTACCCACATAACGGAAAAATCACTGAACTATTTTTGTTCACCATTTAAGTAACTAAATGTTACTCACTATAGTAGTAAAGTCACTAAATATTATGTTTGATGGATTGAACAGGTATTCTCTAATTGTCTAAGGTCAAGTGGAAGGACTGGGATTATAGCATCAGAGGAAGAGGATGTACCAGTGGCAGTGGAAGAGAGTTACTCAGGCAACTACATTGTGGTGTTTGACCCTCTTGATGGATCATCAAACATTGATGCTGCTGTCTCTACTGGTTCTATTTTTGGAATATACAGCCCAAATGATGAGTGCCTCGCAGATCATGGAGATGATTCCGCGGTAATCACCAAACTAAATAATGTCCTTTTGCCTCCTAAAGACAACTCTAAATAGCTAATGAAGCCAAGCATGTTTTGACTTTGTGACGATGTGATAACCTTACACACAGTGCACTGAGAAGAAGGACCATTTACTTGCTAAAATCGATTCATTATATGCAAATAGTTAACCACCAATTCACCAAGTATCTGTCCAATATTGCAGCTTGACAATGTTGAACAGAGGTGTATTGTGAATGTATGCCAACCAGGGAGCAACCTTCTTGCAGCAGGCTACTGCATGTACTCAAGCTCTGTGATTTTTGTGGTCACCTTGGGAAACGGCGTCTTTGCCTTCAATTTGGATCCGATGTATGGAGAATTCGTTCTGACCCAAGAAAACATCCAAATACCAAAATCTGGAAAGATCTATTCGTTCAACGAAGGAAACTACCAGCTTTGGGATGACAAACTGAAGAAATACATCGATGACTTGAAGGACCCTGGTCCTAGCGGCAAGCCTTACTCTGCTAGGTACATTGGTAGTTTGGTTGGTGACTTCCATAGAACTCTTCTATATGGTGGCATTTATGGCTATCCTAGAGATAAAAAGAGTAAGAATGGAAAGTTGAGGCTTTTGTATGAGTGTGCCCCTATGAGCTTCCTCGTGGAACAAGCTGGTGGCAAAGGATCCGATGGCCACCAAAGAGTTCTTGATATCCAACCAACTGAGGTTAGAATCAAATTACTGCTACATCTGTGACCAATAAGAGAATATGTCAGTCAGTTAATTTGGTGTTTCTTTTGTTTCTAACTTTGCAGATACACCAGCGAGTCCCATTGTACATTGGAAGCACAGAAGAAGTTGAAAAGTTGGAGAAGTATTTATCTTAATTCGGAAAACCAAGGTGAAAGTGGAAATCGAGGTTGTCTTGATGTGACCACTTTCAGATCATTTTGTAAGCAAGACAAGACTGTGAAGTTGTAATACTATAAAGAAATTCTTTTCACAAGTCTAGGATGGTACCAATGGCTAATATTATTATAGGTTCTTGAAAAGCTTTGCAATGATTCAATTTATAAAACAATGTAAAGGTTTTTCCTTGCCTTAAATGTGTCATCCTCTTTCTTAAAGTAGTTGTTCTCTTGTCATTATTTCTGTTGGGGAATAAAAGGATAGACTAACCAACACAGAACTCGCGAAGGACACTAACCTCGTGCTATAAAACAGTGTAAACTGAAGACTAACAAAAAAAAAGGGGTAAATCTTGAGTTGAAACCAAGTAACCTCAGTAACTAAGTGATAAGTTCAGCTGCTGCCAACTACCAATTCTAGAAGTCCACCATTGTTGAAGCCACCAACCCATTCTAGAAGCAACCATTGTTGAAGCCTCCATTGTTGAATGAAGAATTCAACCACCAACCACCTTCTTTAAGGCTATAAATAGAGTCTTATGTTTTACACAGAAACATCAATCTAGAGAGATTGAAATACAATCCAGGAAGAGATTGTGAGAACAAAAAGAGAGTTTGGTGAGGTTTTTTTATAGAGAGAAATTCTTGGTGTAAATTCTCTATAATTCTATTCTTGTGAAATAGAGTTGTTTTTCCTCCCAAATAATCTTCATATTGATCCGAGAATCACAACAAGTGGTATCAGAGCCTTCGATTCTGTGTTCATCGAGAAATATCGGAACACTGAAAATTTCAACCCAGATTTACGTTTTTTCGAAAACGTGATCTTCGGTGTGTTTTGATCATTTCATTAGATTCCTTGCGTCGATACGAATTCAACGCAATTTTCCGGAGGCCAAACAAAGCTAAAACGAAGAAGTTATGTCAATTTTTTTCTTCTGCCAAGATGATGAATAGTAACTGTCCAGTCAGCGCCACATCATCATCCAGTCAGTGCCACGTCAGCATCTAGTCAGTGCCACGTCAGCATTCAGTCAGCGCCACGCCAGCATCTAGTCAGTTCCACGTCAGCATCCAGTCATCATAAATTTTTTAGAAATTTATGAAATAACCCCTGAAGTTACTGAAATTATAAATCTGCCCCACAAGTTCAGTATATTTTCGATTTAACCCCAAAAGTTTGGTGTAAATTTTGAAAATTTTCTGGAGGCCCTATTTTGACCCAAGAAGAGTCAATCCTACCATTTTTCACCATTCCGGACGTGTTGGTGAGTTCCGTTTGGTGAGATTCTGCTCCAAAATTTTGACCAAGCCATTTTAAAGACATAATGGAAGAGTCATCATCATCTGGAGCTATGATAAAGCTTACTGCCACAAATTACACATTGTGGAGACCTCGGATGGAAGATCTCCTCAGTTGTAAAGATTTGTTTGATCCCATAGAAGCAANAGAGAGATTGAAATACAATCCAGGAAGAGATTGTGAGAACAAAAAGAGAGTTTGGTGAGGTTTTTTTATAGAGAGAAATTCTTGGTGTAAATTCTCTATAATTCTATTCTTGTGAAATAGAGTTGTTTTTCCTCCCAAATAATCTTCATATTGATCCGAGAATCACAACAAGTGGTATCAGAGCCTTCGATTCTGTGTTCATCGAGAAATATCGGAACACTGAAAATTTCAACCCAGATTTACGTTTTTTCGAAAACGTGATCTTCGGTGTGTTTTGATCATTTCATTAGATTCCTTGCGTCGATACGAATTCAACGCAATTTTCCGGAGGCCAAACAAAGCTAAAACGAAGAAGTTATGTCAATTTTTTTCTTCTGCCAAGATGATGAATAGTAACTGTCCAGTCAGCGCCACATCATCATCCAGTCAGTGCCACGTCAGCAT